AACCATTGTTAAATTTCTAACATCTTGTTTTGAAAGTCTACATTGTTATTGTTTTTGGGGTTTTGCTATTGTTGTGTCTTCTGTTTCTTGTTTTCTTTTTGTCTTTTCTTTTTCCCTCTTTAAAATTAAAAAAAAAAAAAAAAAAAAAACTGCCCCAAATGCGCTAATAATGGGGGAGTCAACTATTTAGTAAAATAAATTTAAATTAAATGTAAAAATTTAATCATCGCTTTGTGCTATTACAATCAAATATAAATAGATGTGCTACTTTCCCTTTGTGTTTGAATGATTTTAAAAATCACACCAATTATCATGGTTTATTTTATGTATATTTCATTTCTTTTATGGACCTAAGTCCCTAAGATTAGCTAATAAAACATTTCAAATGTGTTAGCTATTATTATCAAATGTGTATACCTACTCATTATTTAGTTTAGAAGATTCTGATTGAATTCATGTATAGCAAAATGTTTTTCAAGGTTAAAAAAGTCAGCAGAATTGCATGATATAGTGTCTTCATTAAAAAATCAACAGTTTTTTAATATCCTGATAGTAAAATAGTTGAGAAAAATACTAGGAAACGAATTCCATACACAATAGCATAAAAATACCTAGGAATAAATCTAAGGAAGTAAAACATTTCTAAAATGAAAATTAGAGAACACCAAGAAAGAAATTAAGAAGACACAAGAAGATGGAAAGACCTCCCATGTCCAAAGGCCTTTGGTTCAATCTGTGATGGCACACACAAAAAAGAAATGAATTATCTTATTTGCAGAAACATAGATGGATACATGAATGGGTGTAACTGCATATCATCCTGCTAAGAAAAAAAAGCCAAACTCATACAAGTATTATATATTTCTTCTAATATGTGAAGTCTTAAAAACAAACAAAAAGAACACATGAAAGTAGAAGTGAGACTATTATTACACAAGAAGGAAATAAGTGGAGGAGAAGAGGATAATTTGGGGTAATGGGGGATAGATATAATCAAAACATATTACCTGCATAGCTGAAAATACCTTATCAAAACCTAATATTTTATAAAATAGGCACTAATAAAATATATTTTGAAAAACAGACCTCACTTGTAAGCAGCTCTCAATATTGATCTTTTATGTGGACAAATAATAATTAGCATTCTAGATAGACTAGTATAGAGAATAATTTTTGTGTGCACTGGATAATAATTGTTTTAATAAAATCAAAACAATTTTAGTAAGAATCCAGATTTATAGTAATTTTCTTTTATATTTTGAATATAATGATCCCAATGGTTATATAGCATGCCCTCCGCTTCTCTCTCTCTCTCTCTCTCTCTCTCTCTCTCTCCACATAGAACATTATAGATTAGGGCTGTGAAGAAAATATAATGCAAGGACTCAATATCTTTACAGCCCTAGAAATTTGGCGATTTTACAAATTCTCATGAGATGACTCAAGTTGGCTTTCTATTTCACTCTTAATTGAGTATCACCAGAGCTTTGAAAGCTCATCTAAGGATTGTCTGAAAGCTTATCCATAAAGATTTCTCTCTTTAATTCATCTTTTTTATCTTCAGTGTTGTGGAATGATTTTAGTTTATACGTGTTCAGTATCCAGTAAGTAGAAAGAGAATAGCTACTTTTCATATTTTTATTGTAAAACTTGAAACTTCAGCTGTCTATGTTACTAAGTATGAAGAAGGTTGAGGATAAAACACACACACACAAACACACACACACACACACACACACACACACGCACATGCACACGCACACGCACAAGGGCACACACACACACAGAAACTTGGGAGGGGTTTGGAAGAAAGCTTTAGTTTCCATTGTCCCTTTCTAACTCCAGAATCCTAATGAGAATTTTTAAGTGAATTTGATTTGGCAAAAAAAAAGAACTTAAAATCCTCTTTACTGATGTATCACAAAACATGATGGAGAAAGGCACTTAAGATCTCCCAATTCTAGAAAAAAATGCAGAATAAAAGTGATCAATTTCACATATATTTAAGTTCTTGAGTATTTGACAAAGATAGGTAGAGTCCAGGAAATTATCTGCTCAAAACAAAGTTTCCACTTTTCCTTTGTTTGAAACAGCTCTGACAAACATCTTAAAATGGAGAAGGCACTACCAGAAGGTGTAGAGAGAGAGACATTGTGATGGTAACCAAATAAACCTCAGGGTCTTCCCCAACAGAAAGAAAAAATGTGGTTTTGTACATGAGTATCTGTTTAGATTGATCAGTTTTCATGCTGGCACCCACATGGTGTGCACATAGGCACATGTATTTTGCACACTTACTACTTAGGTAAAAAACTAAGGTTAACCACCTGGAACTGCATTTTTCTCCAATAAAGACATCTGTGCCTGAGTGTGAAGTAAAGAGAGGTAAATGGATATAAATATTAGAAAGGCAGACAGTATAAATCCAGATAAATTTTTTAATCTGTTATCACAGTCATCTCAAAAGGATTCATAAATAGGAATTTAGACCCTAAGAAAAGTAATGGCACAGGGTGAGAACTCTGATTGGGATAACTGGCTGACTGAGGGATACGTTAGATAGAAAAAAAAGTGTGAGAAATGGTGACTCTGAGAACCTTTCAGGAATGTAAGGCTCAATCAAATATTATTGTGAAAATATTGTTTATTTTCTTGAATGTGATAGTACTGATGTTGTTATATAGGAAAATGTCACTTGCAGGTGATTCATGCTGAGTTATTTAAGGAAGTTTTGATTAAGCTTATTTTCAAAAGAAAGAAAATATGTGTGTGAGTGTGTGTGTGAGAGACAGAGAGATAGAGAAATATGAGGCAAAAATATGTTCCAAAACATTAACAGTAAAAGATTGTGGAAGACTTGCATGACAGAATAACCATAAAAATCTTAATGTATTTTAAAAAAGAAATTTACTTCTAAGAGATAATCAGGAACCAGAAACAATGGGCAGGTTATAACGAAATGTTCATTTGTATGGTATGGTGAGATAGGAATTCACAAAAGAGTGAGCTGTACATATGTCCTGAGCAAGATAGCCAACCACCAATCCTAACTTGTGATATTTATTTAAAAAGGCACTTAAATCACCTACTATACAGAATTTTCTACACAAAACCAATTACAACTGACTTTAGCACCTGGAAATTTGATATACTTTAATAATGTATAGAAAACATTTATGGAATTGTACTTAGGTATACTTGGAGAAGAGAAAAAAAAGTAGCTATGTAGGCTTGACAACATTTCACTATTCTTTGTTACACTCACATTAAATTTTTATCTAACATTACTTAAACTTAGCTAGTTTCTTCTTTCTATGAACTCTGACTAATCTCCAACAACCAATACACATTTTGTAACAATTAGCAAGTTTTGCTGAGGATACAGCTCAGTAGCACAAAGTCTGCCTGGCAAGCAAAAGGTCCTGAGTTTGATTCCTGGTACAAAAAATATTAGCAAGTTATGATGTGTACATAGTTTCCAAATGGTAACAGCTATACATAAAGTAAACAAGACATCTAATTTGGATCCACGTCATTAAAATATTAGAAAGAAGTCCCACTCATGATACATATGTAACAAATTCAATTATATATCATGAGCCAAATACTTAATGACCAAAAACAATTTAAGTATGACTCTCAAATGCAAACCAGCTATTTTACCTGTTGGTATGTAAAATTTGTAGGCAATTTAAAGGATTTTCCAGGGAAATTTCCCTATATTTGTATTTTACTCAAGACTCGGAAAGATAAGACTTTAATTTTTTTTTTTTTTTTGTCTTTTTCCTTTTTATCAGTACTGGGGATCGAATTCACGACCGCCTGCTTGCAAGGCAGGTGCTTATGCCGCTGAGCTAAACCCCTAGCCCCAAGACTTCAATATTTAGCACATAGTTCCTGGCTGTGTAAGCCAAATAATATACTTTAAATGGTTATTCCAATTGCTCAAAAATAGGTCCTTCTCTGTAAAGTAGGAAGACTAACAGTGATTAACTTTATACGAAAATTTAGCTCAGCTACAGTGCCAGATATTTGGTTGAAAATTGTTCTAGAACTCTTTGTTTTTTTCTTTCTCCCCCCTCCCTCTTCCTTCCCTCTCTCCTCTCTATTCCTCTCCCTTCCTCTTTTGCTTCCTCTCTTTCCCTCTCTCTCTCTGTCCCTCTCCATCCTTTCTCTTTCTCTCATCCTGCCTTTCCTTCTTATGCTCTCTGTGTCTGTCTTTGTGAGGTTTTTTCCTGGGTATTTTTGTTTGCATGAGACTAATCTTTAAATCACCCTACCTTAAGTAAAGATGTTGCCACATTAATGTGTGCGATCTTCTATTAGTAGGCTGATGTTCTTAATAAAATGAAGCCTGACTTGCACTAGTGCAAGAGAGAATTCCACCAGCAGTCTACTTTTAGAGTCAAATTGTTACTGCTCCACATTGTCCAATTTGCTGGGCTACTCCATTAAATCTTGGCCTTGCATGCTTTCCATAATCACGTGACAAAGTTTTATAAAACCTCTATGTATATTTAGATTTATTAGATATCTATCTACCTACATATGCATATATATATATATATATATATATATATATATAGAGAGAGAGAGAGAGAGAGAGAGAGAGAGAGAGATCGAGAACCCAAATAATAAATTATTCAGTAGGGTTATTGTGGAGATTTAATAGACAATGCATTCAATCTTTATAGTACCTGAAATAACCTTTATAGTACCTGAAATATGAAATAGTGCTACATAAATAGCTGCTATTTTCTTCCAAGGGTCTAATATTGTCCATATAACCTTGATCCTACAGGCTGTTTCTTTTAGGACAGATATATTGCCTTACTGAACCTGAAAGTTAGCCACTCAGATACTTCCTGGAAGTCTAATTTCCTTCATCTCTTCTCAATCCCAAAACATGCTAGCAAAAATACTCTTCATCTCTGCAATAACTACCAAGTACATACCACTGCTATAGCTCAATATTGGTACTTCATTTTCTGATAACTGACCTGTTTGAAAGGCTGCATTGAGCAACTTTCTGCATTAAATTGGACCTCCAAGTTGTTTATGAATTGATCCATATCTGGAAGAGATGAAAAGGAAAGATAACTTTTAGAACAAGGCCTAAACCATTAAACCTGTATATACTTTTTCAAGATAGTTTTTCAGGAAATACTAGGTGCTGAGAAATCACTGAAACATTCTGATTTATTCAAGCCATCAAAATGGCCCTTTTTTAATCTATCCATTCCTTCAAAACTGTACATGCAGGTATACCAGTTTCTTCTAATCTCTCCAGACTTTGCTACATCTATAGTCATATCAACACAGCTGCATAGTGTCCAAAATCATTCCTATTTGGTCTCGTTTTTGCCTTATGGTTTTCTATGCTTTTGCATGGCTATTTATCTCAGTAAACATGTTTATACATTAGAGCCAAGCCTCTCTAGAGAAACATTTCATCTGTCTACATCTCTTACATCTACAAGCCAGGTGAAGTTAATAAAATGTCTTTTCTTTCCTCTTTAAATATCTGCTCCTTTTATGAAAGTAGAGATTTGGTAGGCTTATTCAGCTGCCATGTGTTATCACAGTTATTCCCACTAGGAGCACTTACCAACTTTACCTCACTGGCTAGATTCCCTTTAATCTCTTTTCATTCCAATTTGACTATGCAGGAAAATATAGCTAAGGAAGTCAAAACCACACTTAGTTATAACTTGATTTCTCTGATTTCAGATCTAAGTGTCAACTTAGATCTGAATTACAGTTAGTTACAGTTAATTACAGTTAATTACAGTTAGTTCCTACACTAGTAGCCTGGCTGCATTTCAAAACATAGTCAATCTACAAATCTTACTTGTTGTATAGTCAAATGTATTTACCCATAAAAAGTATTATTTTTAGAGGTTATATCACACTAGCCATTTAACACATAATGCAGTTAATATACAATGAATGCACAATCAGCAAGGAAATTATAGCAACATAAAAATAAATGATAAACCCCAAAATGATTATCTAACTCACTGAATGTCAAAAACCGATCAAATCATTTTTAATCAAAGAACAGTGACACACAAAGAAACATTCATCTAAAAAAAAGAGGAAAAAATATTTTTGTCTTTTTGAGACAAGGTCTTGCTATGCAGTTTGGCTGGCCTTAGGCTCAATTTGTTGCCCATGTTGGTCTTCCACTTGTAAGGATGCTCCCACCTCAGCCTCCTTAATGCTGGGTTTACAGGAGTGTATCAACACACCCAGCCAAGAGGAAAAATTCTGAGCTACTATGACAGTTTGCAGAATTTTGACACTGTAAGTATTACATCTCCAAGTTAATTACAAATTCATGACTTTCCTTTTGCTTGAGTCAGGTAGAACTGTGTATATATATAGACAGACATATAGATATAGAGAATAGATATAGATATAGATAGGTATCTATTTACTCACCAAATATTTGTTACACAATTATTATTTGTCAGAGGTCTGAATAGGTACATTCCTATGAATTTGAGCTCTGGGCCAACCAGATATGTGGAACTAGCAAAAGGTATCAGAGAGCACTGGTTTTATCCTTCTTATCAGTAAGACATATTATCAGTAAGACATACTAGTAATCCTTCTTATCAGTGAGACATACTATCACAATTTAAAAGAGGAGAGGTTTAATTTGGTTCATAGATTTAAGGGATTTAGTCCATGGCTACCTGGCTGTAAGGCAGAAACATGGCAGAAGATTATGGTTAAGCAAACCTGTTTAGTTTGTGGTGACCAGGAAAGCAGAGCCATAAAAGAGTTTCTGAGAAGAAAGGGTAAGAGACAAGACACAGATTCCAAGGCCAGGCCTCCATCACCCACCCAGAAGTGTTTTCTACCAATTCCCCAAACAAATCTCAAAATCAGTCAGGTGACACTTGACCCTAAGTGCCACACATTTGCCTAAATGCCAAACTTTGTCCACTTCATACTCAACCATATCTCTTGAAACCATACTCAATCTTCAAATAAACACAATACCAAGTTCATAATTCTGCCTAGCATAATACAACTATTTCATGTACAACTGAAAACACAACAATTCATTCCACCAAAATCTTAACAATTGTAGCATTTTTTAAATGTTTAAATCCAAGTTTCCCCCTATGCCTTAAGACAAACTCTCTGCTGTATCTATTAAAATCCAAACAAGTTATTCTCAATGACACTGGGTAAATATTCCCATTCTAAAAGGGAGGAATAGAAGGATAGAAAAGGATCAAAACAAAGCAAGAACAAATGAAATCCATCACAGGAAACATATTCCAGTAGTTCTATGCCCATCTTCTGTGCACATACTTGATAAAGTGTAACTTTCAAAAAACTTAGGCAGACACCCCACCACCACCGGCACCACCACCACGGCCTTCTGAATTACAAACCACATGGATTCCCTCTTAAGCTAGCTCCATTCATGGACTATAACTTTCCTCAGCAGAAATTCTACTCTGGATCCTGCAAATTCCTGAGTCTTCACTGGACCTTCAGCTTTATCCTCATGGCTTCTCACATTGCCGCTAAGGGACTCCTTGCTTAGCTTCCCATCCCCTTTTTTGAAATCTTAGTGGAAGCCTCTGTGACCCTAGACCTCTTGCATTCTGCCTACTGTCAAACTAGCATCACATGGACAATGCCAAGGTCTGCTGACTGAGGTGGCAATAGCCAGGCATCCAAGGACCTTGCCAGCAGTTGACTCTGAATGTGTGGATGGAGCACAGTGAAATGAATCAAAATAAACCAATTATCTAAGAAGAACTTCTTGAGCAAGGGTTACAGGTACTGTCTTCTCAAATGAAAGATCTGTACTTTTGCACTCTTGAGCCTGCAATGGGTGAACTCTTACTGACTTTTGAGATGATTTTGAAGTACCTTTTTTCTTACCCTTGTGCAAAGTATTTGTTCTCTTCTTAAAGGTGTTAATCACTTTAACACTCACAGCACTTTTGATCCCAAATTTCCTTGTGATTTCTTCTGAGACAACATTTAAGATTTTCAAGTTTGTATGCTCTGCTTTCTACTTCAAACTCACACTATATAAATCTGGTTAAAAGCAGCCAACAGTATCCATGCCATAAACTTTGGACTGTCTTGAAATTTCCTCTGCCAGATAAATTAGTTCACTACACTTAATCTCAATCTTTTGTGAAATCTCAGGACATACGGAAAATACAGACAAAATTTTTGTCAGGGTATAAAATACATGATCCCTAGTAAAACTGCTGATTGAGTTCTTGCTCCCAACTGAAACCTCTTAAACCTGGTCTCTATTTTTGCATTCCTATCAGCATTCCAGTTTGCTGCGCTCTAACCATAATCACCTATTACACTCTGTTTACAATATTCTAAGACTTCTCTAGGACACATCTCCAAGTCTTTCCAAATTCTTCCTGCAAACCAATTCCAAAGGTTTCCAAAATACTTTGTTATTTATAGTTACATCAGTGATGCCACTTTTGTGGTACCAATTTTCTGTACTGGTCATCTTTCTCTTTGCTGACATAATACATCATACCCACATCTTAATGGAAGAGGGGTTTAACATGGCTTACAGTTTTAGATGGATCAGTCCATTGTCACTTGGATCCATGGCAGAAACATCATGGCATAAAGGCATGGTAGAGCACAGCTGATTAGCTCATGAAGCCTGGAAACAGAGCAGGGGAAATGGTGCCAGAGAAGAAGCATCAAAGGATTAGAAATAGACCTCAAGGTCAGACCTCCATGAGCCACCCAGACACACCTAGAGATTTGCCCCTCCAGTGTTTCACACAGTTCCCAAAGCCAATCAAATTGGCATCCAATCCTAACTGTGATAGAGATAGATGCCCAGGAATCACATTTTATTTTTGTCAGGGTCTTTTATTTGCAAAATTGAACTTGTCTGTGTAGAATTAAAGAAGCTCAGCTTACCCTCTGCATACTACTAATGGTTCTGTAGAGCCTTTCAGGGGTGTGGTAATGAAGGAAGAAATATAGCAATGAATAAGAACAGTAGAGGCAGGAACTCATAAAGCTATGATTGCCAATAGAACTCAAACTCATTGTGATAAACGCACCTCCTGATGGAAAAAGAGCAAGGAAATATATTTTCTCCAGTGCAAGAATTGATAAAGAGTGGGAAATAATGAAAGAAAATTCAAGATGCTATATATGAGAGGCCTAAAATGTAAATTAACTATGAAGCGAGAGGTTCTAGAAAGGATAGATGTTTTCTGATTCCTAGGATGAGAAAATGAAGTGTGACGAAAGAAGAACAATGTTGAGTCAGGTAAGTCTAGTATAGTCCACAAGAGGGCATGACAAAGTTAGCAGAACTTGCTTGATTACTACCAGAAAAATCTACAGATGAGGGTGGAGAGAATTCTGTTTTTCTTCTATATTCAAAGCACCTTCAGGTAGGTATCATGATTTATAACCAGTATATTTTATAAAAGCTATTTTTTGTGTGTTCTTCTTCTACACCTATGAATTAAGAGAAGGCATGGTTGAGGAAACAAAACAATTTTGAACAACCATTTAGCTTCCATGAATCTGTTTCTTTACATGTCAAGAAAGAGGAAAAATTCTTTTGTCTTAAAAAAGTCAACATACATTCCGTGTAAATGCACTTGATGAAATTCTCAGCATATAAAAGTTATCAATTAAAATTATCATAATCATCATGATTATTATTATTGTAATGCTGAGGATTGAACCTAAGATCTCATGCCATGCAAATGCTCTTATCATCATTGCACTCACTGTCCTCACTATTTTTGATGGCCAGAATCCTGAGGTCTGACTCAAAAAAGTATTTCCTGAGTACCAAACAGGTCCTGTATATTTAATGAGTTCCTAAATCTGCTCCAATCTTAATTTCTAGCATCACCATCAACTCAGTCTGTCAAACTTGGGGGTCATTCATCTTTGACTCTTCTCCATCTTTGACCAATTGATTATCAGCTATAACAAATTATACCCCTGAAACACCTCTTAAACATATCCATTTGCCATCTGCCAGTCACTTGTCCTCTCTGTATACTATATATTTCTATTAAAGTGTAGTAAATTTTGTGAGTTGATACATGCCTGATGTCATATTGTGGCTCTATACCTTTATAGTGAAACTTTTTTTCTCACTGTATGTGTCTGTTTTCTCATTTACAGAAATAGAAATAATATTAGTAGCACTTCATAGAGTTGCTGTGAGGATTTACTTAATTAATATGTGGAGGTGGAGCAAAAATGGCAGATAGATAAGAGCTGGCTACAGAGGCTCCCTGAGATAGTTAACTTAGAATTCAATATAATACACCATGGAGAACCCCAAACAGAGGGAGATGAATTCTCTTGTCCCAAGAAGAAACTAAGGTGAGAAGAACCAATCAAACATACAGTCCTGGTGCTATCATTAGAACAGCTAAAGGTTCAGTGCTCCTGCCACAATGGGTGACTTGCGGAGCCATCCGAGGTCCCACCGCTTCAACTCACTGGAGGCACAGTCACAGTGAGGTTGGAGGTCAGCCAGCCGAATAGAGAGCTGAGCTGGCAGAGAGCCTGCACTGACCTGTGGTGAATGATAGGAGTGCAGCCATTCCACAGAAAGTGGGGCTCTAGCAGATGACATTCTGGGACCAGGCAGGACTGGAAAGTACAAGGGGCAGCAGTGACTTCAGTCAGTTGTTCCCGTCTTGAACAGCATTGGTGGAGTGAGCAAGGCCTGGGTCATGCGACCTAGGTGAGACCCAAAAGGGTATCCAAAATCAATTCCCTATGGTGGTGATGCACAATAACGCAGTAAAGCTTCAGAAGTTTGACTGACCTGGAGGGGAGGCGGTGTATAGTAATACAGTGCAGGCCTCAGCAGCTTGACTGATCCAGAGAGGAGGGGTCAGCATATGCTGCCCCTGTTTGCAACTCATTAGCACACTGAAATGGGAAGGGTCACCTAGCCAGCATGCTTCAGAAGAATTGTAAGCAACAACAAAAGAAACCGGGGCCTCCCTGGAAGAAACAAAAAAGATGGGAGAAGGAAGCAACAAGAAAAAGTCCCCAGGTTCCAACCCTGAGAACATTGACCCAGGACAGGTAAATACAAAGAAGAATGGCTTTGGGAACTGTATGAAACACTGGAGGGGCAAATCTTTAGGTGTATTCTCAAGCAGACACAGATGGGAGAAGAGAGGAACTCAAACAAAGGAGAGAACCAATTGATGAAGAATATAAAAAAATACAGAATATATGAAGCAGATTCAAAGAGATTACCAGGAAATTAAAAACTCTATGGGAAGATGGCAAATCAGCTTGAAAGAAACAAAGGATAGATTATCCAAACTAGAGGACAGTTTTGCAATGTGGGATTATGAAAGGAAAAACTTTTTAAAAATAACAAGGAAACAAGCAGTAACAATACAAAAGGCTAGAAGACAACAAGAGGATCTATAACTTGAGAATAAAAAATGTGAATGAAGAAGCTGGGGTACAAACAAAGGAACTACAAAGGCTATTCACAGAAATAACTGAGGAATACTTCCCAAAAATAGGAAAAGGAAATGATATTCTGATGTATGAGGCATACAGAACTCCAGCCACCGACAACCAAAACAGAGCTATACTCAGGCATATAATAATCAAGATCCCAGAAATTCAATATAAGAACAGAATGGTGAAACTGTTAGAGACAAGAAACAGATAACCTACAAAGGAAGGCCTATCAGAGTAACAGCAGACTTCTCGACACAAACCATCAAGTCAAGAAGAGCCTGGAGCAAAATATTCCAAGCCCTGAAAGAAAATAACCTCCATCCCAGATTGATATACCCTGATAAACTGTCTCTAGAAATTAATGGAGAAACAAGATGCTTCCAAGACAAAGACGAACTTGGGAAATTCACAACCACAAATCCAGCTCTACAGAAAATATTGCAGGGCATTCTAGAGAGAGAGAAAAGTACTAGGATTCCAGGAATAGTAGCCGAGAGGCCTCAATGAATGGAGCAGAAAACAGAATGAAGAAGAAAAGCAGACAACTGATGGCAAAAAAAGAGCATAAGAGAAATGAGGCAGAGAAGGTTGGTTATAATCTCTAATACAGATGGCCTTGATACACTAAAGTAAAAAAAAAAAAAAAAAGAACCACACATAGAGTAGATCAGGAGGTAGGGTCCAGTGAGATGCTATTTTTAGAAAATATCATTAAAATGAAAAAGAATACGTGAACTGAAAATCAAATATGAGAAAACAATGCTCTATGTGACAGAGAACCAGAGAGTAATACGGGCAACTAGACAAGTATTTGTGGATAGGTTGGATAGGCTTTAATAGGTACAGGAATATAATTAGAGATCAGGTCCAGAAGAGAGAAGGTTTAGAACCACTTAGGTACATAGCAGGTTGCCCCCCCCACCCCAATTTAAAACCAAGGGTCTTGGTCAGATCCAAAAATGCACAGTGTACCCTGGGGAAGTGAAAGGGGAGTGAGAGTCTTAAAAAAGATGGCAGAAGATGTTGTTAATAGTGTATCAGGATTTCAAACACACATTACTCACACCACTCTACTTAGATCGATTTCATTCTGTCCCAGTTTTGTCTACCTGCATTAGATTTGAAGGCACATCTACCCCCAAAACATCAGGATATAGCACAGTAATCATGTTTAGTTTCCTATTATCTTAATCTAGAGCCCTGTAAGACTTATACTGTTGGGGCTGGGGATTTAACTCAGTGGCATAAGCACCTGCCTTGCAAGCAGGCAGTCATGAGTTTGATCCCTGGTACCGATAAAAAAGAAAAAAGACCCCCCAAAAAAAGACTTATACTGTTTTATCATGACTGATCTCAGTTACATCTGGTTTGTTTGATTGCTGTGTAGTACCGACAGATTTTATTCAATACTGATATGATTGACAGTATCAAGTCTGAGAGTATAGGCAACTACACTGAAGATGACAAGACTCTACAGTATACATTCTGGTTGGTAGCTGCCTGTTTTTGAAGTTTTATACTATATACAAAGTTGTATTTTTATTAATACTGTTATATACTGATAAATTCAATTATACTATATCTGATGATATAGCCAATTCTATTGAAGATAACAAGAGACAACACAGGAATTATGGTAGAACTCTTTGTACAATGGCCTTATATGTCTTTTTTGTTTCTAGTGTTTATAGGAATATGTTTTGTTTTGTTTCTCCCTCTAGTGTAGAAAGGATAGAAATACATGTTAAGACTCATGCATGTGTAGAATCTATAAACAGATTATGAGAACTGATCTTATGACACATGATGAAATGAACAGATACTTTGAAGAAAAAGAGACGCTAAAGTACTGAGTGCTCATTCTGGAGCATCATAATGTGAAACCCAGCAATAGTATTATTCTTTGTTCAGAGTGAAATTAGACTGCTTGGGTTTGTTCACTCTCAACATAATTGAAGACATGGGTAACTGCATGTATGTTTAAGTGTATAGGCTTGATAACCATATTTCTAAGTTTTTGTTGGATAGTTGAACAGAATATAGTTTGCAGTCTCATTGTTTGAATCCCTACTTTATATGGTCCACTTTAGTATCCTGAATAACTATTTGTAAGATGACAATCTGTAATCATCAACTAGTGATTTCTTACTGTTTTTCTTTGAAAGTATGTATTATTTCTACCTGTTTTCTGTTTTGTTTAGTCTTTCTTTAAAAAAATTTTTAAAAAGACACTAGTTCCCAGTGCTGATCCCAGAGAGTCATGATGTGAAACCCAGCAATAGTTATTATTCTTTGTTCAGAATGACTTTAGCCTGCTTTAGTTCATTTAATCTAAACATAAATGAAGATATGGATAACCGCATGTATGTTTACGTGTATAGGATTGACAACCATATTACTAAGTTTTTGTTGGATAGGTGAATAGAACTGTTGGTAGTCTCGATGTTTGAATTCCCAATCTATACGTCCCACTTTTGTATCTTAACAACTATTTGTAAAAGGACAGTATGTAAACATCAACTAGTGATTTCTTACAGCTTATTTTTTCTCTGAATGTATGTACTATTTCTACCCATTTTCTGTTTTGTTTAGTCTTTCTTTAAATAGAATTTAGAAAAATAAATTAATATATGTTTGAGTATTAGTAACAGTGTGTGACACAAAAAGGCATTGTCTCCCTCACAATCTGTTAGGTTCCTCAAGGTTTGCTTACTCATATTCCTTTCTGTATATCTATGTTTAAATATGTATCCCCTATTTGCTGTGTTATAACTTTCAATCAATGCGTGAATCATTTTAATGGGAATGTGGATAGTTAGAGCCATATTCAGAACCACAGATGCGTATAATAAAAAAACTTTAGTAGCAGTAATAAAGAAATCTTAAAAGTACTTCTTGCTCTACCCATAAAACAGATATTTTAGTCTTCTGATACAAAGGGACAGCTGAGAACTAAAATTTTGCAACATTAATACTTAAGGAAAACTGAAAATTAAAAGGAATTAGGGTCTACTTAAGGTTCAGTTTTTTTTTTAAAGGCTTTGTTTCTAGAGTCAGAATTGCTGCTGTGTCTGAGACCAGACAGATACACAGCAGCTATCAATGAGGTAAGTAAAAAAAAAAAAAATATATGAAAGAGAGTTTCAGTAGCAATGGCTTGGGTCACTGAGATGTAAATCATCCAGGCAGGAAGGCATCCAAAATAAAAATTACCTACTTAAGGTAGTAACCATGATTCTGCTTGAAATGGTTCTTCAAGTCTTTGTGTCTGGAAGCTGAAATTTCTGACCCTTTTCCCAGGGAAGAAGTATTTTAAAAGGAAATAAAGTAGGATTAGCCAGTTGGCCATACATGTAGAACATATTTAAAAAACATAATCAAGAGACCAGGAACACAGAAATTTGATAAAGTTATATAATTTGTATTATGTTCTTATGTTTATTTTGTTACCCAAGTGCCATTTCCTATAATGAGCTTCAGTATCAGAAAAATGAATAGTGTCTCCAAGGTACAACATGAAGTGACTCATTAAGAAGACCATTTTCTTTCACCAGTTTTAGAAAAGGAAAAAAATGCCTAGAGATGAAATGAGATCTTTAAGGAGTAAAGCAAAGCAAAGTTGTTAGACTCCACAACTAAAAAGAAAATGGAAATGGTGACACAGACTTAAGAAAGAACCTAGTGCCTTAAGAAGATAAGAGTTTTTTGGCAATACAAATAAAAATCCTTTATGCGTATATACATAGCATTACAATAAGAAAGGAGACAGCTTTCATATAATTCCCATTTCACACATCATTCATTTTGAGGCTCAAGATTACACAATTTAGAAATGCTACAAACAAAGCTGGAATTTTTGTCCTCTAACTCAAACTGCAGTATCTTCTTACTCCATTTTAATAACCCAAATATCGTAAACATCTTTGTGAAAAACTGTTGAAAGAACAAGTTTAAAGATGACAAATAATCATTTAGGAAGATCTTAAACAGGTGTAATTCACCTACAACCTCTGCTTAATAAGAGATACTAAAACTATTATAAAATGAAAACCAATGTTATAAGGCCATGAGATTATAGCTCTTTTTAATCTTTACAACCCTGATAGTAAGTACTTAATTAATGCCTTTATTTTACTTTATTGTTTTTGAAGTCCTTGGCATTGAACCCAAAAGGATCTCAAATATTTAAGGCCAGTGTTACACCTCAAGTTTCTCCATTTTAAATATAAGGAAACAGGCAGAAAGATAAA